ATTTTTCTTTCATTTTCTTCTCTTCCTCTCTCTCTCCTCCTCTCTCTCTCTCTTGTTTTATCACCTCATATCAGTTCTTATTGATACGACAAATGCGCTCAAAATACAAATGTATTTTTGTCATTGCAGCCATTTTAGCTTATTAGTATCACAGAATTTTACGTAATATTTTATGCCGTTCTAAACAGAATAAATAATTTGTTAAATAAGCTAAACATAAACAAACTATAGTATCAATCTAATTGAACATAAAATTCAATTCTGAATTATATTAAATTTAAACCCTAAATATATTCAGTTTAAATCCCAAATATATTGGACCAATTCCTAAGAATTCAGATTCTAAATATAATGAATTTAAATTCTGAATATATTGAATCCAAATCCTAAGCATATCTAATCCAAATCCTAAATATATTGATGTTACTTCCTGAATATATTTAATCGAATTCCTAAATTTAAACTTTGGATATATTCAATTCAAATTTCAAATATATTGAATTCAATTTTTAATCAATTCAAATCCAAAATATATTGAATTTAAATCCTAATGTATTCAAAAAAATAGCCTCAATGTGAATGTACATTTCATATGAATTCAAATCCAAAATATATTCAATTCAATTCCCAAATACATTGAATTCAATTTCTAGTAAATTTAAACCAAAGATACAATAAATTTAAATCCTGAATATACTGAATTCAATTCCTAAATATTTGGTATTAATGTTTTGAACATATGAATATACATACTATATGGAAATCATTTTAGAAACAATTTTTAGTACCAAAGCGGTAATATCAAAAGTTATCTCATGCTATCACAAAAAGAAATGCGAAATTATAGAAAATGATATAATTATCAATAATTATTGTAATTCTTATCAGCTATCATTTATTTTGATCATCTTAAATGAAAACAGTTATAATGTTTTGAAATGAACAAATTAGAAGAAATGAAAAAGTGTATCATTATATAATAATTATATTTATACTTATTAATAGAAGTAATATTAATGATTACTTATACTTCTTAATAATTACTTATACTTATCGATCGATTGTATTTAATTAGCTAACCGAGTTTATTTCTTTTTATCATTTATAATTTAACAATTAATTATAAATTACAATTAATAATTGGATGGTTGAAATTGAGATAATATGATAAAGTTAGAAGGAATAAAATAGGTCGTAACGTAATTATCGTCCATTCAAATTACATCAATCAGTGAAAATATTTACAACGATTGTACGAAATTAAATAATTTCGGAAAATGTTAAATGATAATAATTGCAAATAAGAGGTCAAAGATTTAATCTAATTTTAATATTTCATTGAAAATTTATTTAAAACAATCAAGTGATTTGAAAAATTTTATAAATTTTAAGAAAACAAAAAAAAGAAAAAAATTTTCTTCAATAAAACAAACGGCTTTTTCTTATATCATCATTTCCATATTGTTATGCTCAAAGAAATGATCAAAGATCGGATGAAAAAAGAATTTTTGCATATATCAATTTTTATTTGACAAATATTTTTTGTTAAAAATGCCGGTCATTTTTGCTTTTTCTTGAAAAGTCTTTTTGCAAAAAAAAAAAAGAATTTTTTTTTTCTTTTCATAAAAAAGAAAAATGTTACTGCATTATATATTTGAAAATAATTACTAATTTGTTTCTTCAAATTTTTTACAAAAAAAATTTTTGTTTAATTAAATTAAGCAATCAATCAATCAATAATTAGTGTCTCATTATATTTGATGCGCTAAAATTATGCTACATTATAGCAATTTTATGACATTTGATGATGACACATTGTTTATTTTCATTCCTTTTCCTAACCTCATCTCCCCGAATTGATCATTGATAATTTTCATTATGTAAACAATTTGTAGACGAAATTATAAGTATTTCAATCAGACAGTTATGAGCATTACGATGATGTAAAACCTGTTTGGAAAATACCAAACATTTCATCGGATCATATTTAATTCATTCGTCAATAAATCTTAAATTAATTTGACAATTTAAATTATAGTAATTAAATTTGTTCAATTAAACGAAATGTTAAAAAGCAAATAGTAAATCGTTTAGATGTAATTAAAATTAATTCAATTTATATAAGTTATATTTTATAAAATTTAATTTTATTTGTAAAATTCATTTATTACATTTTTGTAAAAAATAATTGAAGCAACCCTTATCATTTATCTTTTTATCATTACATGTAATGACAATTACTCTGATTCACATTTCTAGAAATTATCATTTACGAAATTATCATTATATTGCTACAAAGTGATAACGAAAAAAATTTTTTTCGGACATTTATCAGCAATCATAATATATTCCTAATGATAAAATAATAATTCGATAATGTAGTGGACCAATAACCATTCAAGGCAATGGTTCCTATTAGCTTAAGCGATGAGGATGATAGGGATAGTATGATGATGATAATAATGGTAGTAATGACAATAGTTATAGTGATGATAGTGGGAGAATGATAATAATAGTACGATGATGACAGCAATGACAAATGACAATGATGATGATAGTAGTAAAGATTTATAACGATAGCAATGGCAATAATTATGGTAGTGATAATGGTGATGATGTTGTTGATAGTAATAACAATGATTATAATAACAATAGTGATAATTGATAAAATGACAATAACAATATGAATAATAATTAGGGATAATGTACACCAATGCTTCTTACAATTGCCTTTATCACTAACATTTTTTTCATTTCTATGTTAATTTTAAGACTATTCCCTTCATTAAAACTTTACATTCTAAAATTTGGCAATGAATTTATGAATACATAATGATTTCAGAGATTTAACAAATTCGTTCCAAAAAATTAAAGCAAAAATGATCCACAAATATGGAAATTATATTTTAACCTTACTTATTTAAAAAAAAACAAAGAGCAAAGATCATTCCGTGAATTTTGACAATTTTTCTTCCCAACAATAAAGCTTCTCATTTTTTTTTTCACAATAAACAAAAATAGCTGAATGAAGAGGGGGACGAATCATTATTGGTAAAAGCGCTTTTTGTTAATCATATATTTCGATCATTTCAAATCTTGACCTTCACTCTATGACATTCATCCTATCATTGTCAACATTTCTGAACATTAACAGATGTGACTAAAATAGTTACGTAATGAGGATATGAGGGGTAAAAAAAATAAACATTCTAATTGAATTATTCGTCAATCCATAAATATGAAAAAATTTTTTTAAAGCAATTTTTCATCAAAAATATATTCTTCATGAAAGAGATGACAAAAA